ATATTAAACGGAACAATCATATCAACTCCATTATTCAGCTCAATCAATGCAACAATGACACCCATAATGTCATCGTCAACTAATGCAGCATTGGTGCCAACCTCAGCCTATATTAAGACGTTCAGTACCAAGTCTATAATATTAAAGGGAACAATCATATCAACTCAGTTATTCAGCTCAATCAACGGAAATATGACAATCATAATGCCTTCGTCAACAAAAACAACAGCAATGCCAACCTCAACTTATAATGAGACTTTTATTACTACCTCTACATTGTTGAATGGAACAGTTGAAACAATTACGCCAGCTACATTTTTTAGCTCAATCAATGGAACAATGGCAACCATTATCACACCATTTTCAAGAAATAAAAATATTTTCACAACCTCTACCTTCAATCAAATGTACCTGCCTACCTCCACGTTTATAAATGGAACAAGGGAAACCATTTCCCCAACCTCGTCCTTTGTCTCCAAGCACCAGTGGACGTCATTAGTTGTCACTGAAACAGTTTCAACCAACACTGGGCTCTCGTCAATAGATATTCCCCATTCTTCCACTTCAACAATAATCAATGGAACAAGAGAAAGCATAACACGAATTTCCACTCAATCAATGGTAACACCTACTTCAATTTACAATGTCACATATTTGTCGCTGTCCAAAACCGTTAATACGGCAAATAAGGTATCAAGTGTTTCGGCATTTCCACATTCAACAGGAAGAACGTTCGTTTCTGTTCCAACAAATGTACTTCCTACTATCAGCTCAAGTATTTTTTCCAACGCGGTTAAAACATCTATCCCAATGATGTCTAGTAAAATGAGTCACGACTCCCTTGCTTTTTCGGTTTCATCTTCTCTTGCATCTAGTTTTGTAACAAGTTCGAAAAGTACAAGTTGCTATGGAGGTGTCAATAAGTGCAGTACAGACTCTTTGTTTCCCCCTACCACAACAAAAAGTTCTTTTGTACAAATTTCAACTGTCAGTGCAAGTTTTTCACATTCATCCACGATATCCATTACACCTACAACGATTTATGGCAGAAAATTCAAAGGACTTCTAACGTTTCCTGGTTTACCGTTTAGTGAAGCATTGCTTGATAAAAGTAGTAGAGACTTCAAATCTCTCGCACAAGAAATACAGCAAAGACTTTTATCAATCTATGAAGAAAAAGTAGATGGCTTTTTGCAATTGAATATTTTACGTTTCACAAAGGCAGAAGAAGGCGTGATCTGTGAGTTAACGGTTATGGTACAATTTCAGTCCCGAACTAATGCTGAAAAATTGAAGATCATTACTTTAGAGGCCAATGAGGCAAGTAATGTTGGTAATTTCAAAATAACTTCGGCGTCATTTGTGGACTGGACTAAAGAAGTTGAACTTAAAAGACGACGATTCGTGGCTACTGCAATAATACAAAATAAAAAGTTCACGGATGCACTAAAAGATCATTCAAGTCAAGAATTCAAGAAGATGTCCAAGGACTTTGAATCTGCCCTTAACAAAATATATAGTCGAACAATTACTGGATTTCTTTACACTCGGGTTACATCTTTTGAAAAAGGGAGCATTATATGTACTTTTCTTATAATTACGACTGCCCAATCATCAGCAAATGAAACACTCCTGACAAATGTACTACAACATGCTAATATTAGCGCAAACCTGAATGGTTTCGTACTAAAAGGTGACGTTTTCATTAATCAAATCGAACCAAAGACCCAACCGAGCAAGGGAAAACTAAAAGAATGGTTGATAGTTACTATCGCTGTTGTGTGCTCTCTGGTGCTGGTGATGGTCATGCTTCTTATAGTTTGTGTAAGTCTGGCTTATACTTTAAAGTGCACATGAACCCTTCTGCATGAAGTAAATAATTGAATGGTAAAATATTTCTTGATTTGAGTGATGCGTCTCTAAATTATGAAGGTTTATACTTCCAATATGCTAATAAGTGTGACGTCTATTAGGGCTTAATTCAATATACAAAATCGAACTGGTTTATAGATAAAGTATTTAAAAAGCATCACTATTTTACTCATGGTTTACATGAAAACTATACCTCACTCAAATACCTTACGTCACCATCATTAACACATTGGAAGTATAAACCTTCATAACTTAGAGACGCATTACTCAAATCAAGAAATATTTTACCATTCAATTATCTAGTTCATGCAGAACCAGTACTGAAAGTATTGTCAAGGAGGTCTAACCAGATATTTTTAGAGAAAAGACAGCACCTTCTACTCAGATATTTTAAAACCCTAAGTGTTGGTACGGCCGAGGCTTGGACCCAAGACATCCTGACAATAGTCTGGTGCCCAATAAACTGAGCCAACGGGGAGGCAGTCAAACAGTGATGACCTGCCGGCTTTAGTTATCTAACCATTACGTGTCAATGGCCAAAGTTTAACTAATCTTTCATTCAATTTAGGTTCAGCACTTGAGAAGGCAAAAACGACAGCTGAAGTGTCAGGAATCGTATGACGACTGGCCAGAAGACTCAAGCACAATCGAAATGAAGGAGTATAAAAAAAGAAGAATTACGCAATTTAGAATAGAAGACGCTTATGAATCACGCATGGAAATGGCCAGTGCTAATTTAGAGGAAAGAACGGCTGCACCAGAAGAGATTGATAGGGAGCTTTCTTTATCTCTGAATTACGAATAACTGGAATTCATACCCATATAAAGAAAAAATGAGCCAATCGTAATCCACTTATTGCTCTTTTTCATTATGACGTCACATGAAATAACACTGAGAAATATGGTCGTGGAAAGGAGAAAAAACAGCAACACAAAGAAAATTTAAAAAAAAAAAAAAATACTTTTTAGAACTTAGAAAAGCAATTATAGCCACCAAATAAAGTTTGCACGAGGACAGGTTTTTTAAATGTTTGAAAACCAGAAAACAGAGCTATCAATTCAGCTGCAGAGTAAAAGTAGTCCAAATGTTTATCGTTCTTTACCATTCTGTCCCCCTTAGAAATTAGCTGCGGCGTCATAGTAAAATAGGGCAATTCGACAGCCAAGCTTTTTGTGTCTAGCTTCACTAACACTAGGTTCATACTTCGGGGTTTTTTCGTTTTGTTTTTGTTTTGCTTTGGCTTTTTTTTTTTTTTTTTTTTTTTTTTTTTTTTTTTTTTTTTTTTTTTTTTTTTTTTTTTTTTTTTTTTTTGTTGTTGTTGTTGTTGTTGATTTTTGTATTCTGTTTTGTTTTGTTCCTAAAAGTGACTACAAGGATGGGATAGAGTGATTTAACAGTTAGACTAGATATAGATATATATATATTTGTAAAGCCGAAGAGAAATCTTTATTTTAATACGAAAAATAAGGATTTCATTCACTGAATTAATAACTACAAAAAAATTGTCTGATTTCTCCTGCAAAGGAAGTAGTATTTGCATTGCAACGAGATATAGTTTAGTTTCCGCGCCAAAAGTAGCGGAAGATGCAATTTCGATTATAGTTTTAAAACGTTTTCGTAGTAAGTGTCTACCTTTCTAGAGCTGACGTTTTCTGAATAATTTCATTAAAAAAAATTAAAAATTAAAAATTTAAATTTAAACCCCCTTTTTTCTACCTTAACCCCAAGAACGAAAGCGCTCATCTAGGGGGCCAACGCTTACGTTTTTTACTACAACCATTATCGCCGAAGTGCGACACGAAGTTTAAGAGGCAATGTCCACAAGAATCGAACAAATGGTGGCAAGGGTCAAAAAATCAAATTCGCTCTTCTTTTGAAGTTAGATAGGCCATTATTAGATATGAATTCCTGGGTAGTTGGTTTTCGAAAATATTATTCTATTTTCGAGAAAACGGCCACAGAAGAGGTTCGACCGAAACCCAAGCAAGAGACGCTCAAGAGGAGTGAAAATGGACAAACTTTGAACAGAGCGCGCGTAAAAAAGAAACCATCTATGACAATTTTTGAACTTTCTTCTTAATGTATCACCCTTTTTCGTTCATTGGACTGGATTTCAAGCTTATTGGGAAAGGGACGAATTTTTGTCGAGGAAAAATATGAGGCCTGTGTTAACATATGCTAATTAAGTGCCTCAAAAGAAAAAGAGATTTAACTATGGGCAAGTTCTCTGATTGAAATAATATTTATGCTGCAAGTTGAGGAAGAATAGACCTTTTCAAAACTTTAAAGATTGCTTTGGAGAAATTAATTCTGACTGCATAGAAACCTGTTGAATTTGGTTGAAATACATGCGAAAATCACGCTTCCCGAATCAACGCAGGACTAAGGATTTTCGTAAAGATTGCGATGAAATTTTCCCTGAAAACTAAGAAATTATTGTTCGTGCCGTTGTGTGAAAGTTCCCGAAAGTTCAGTGTTGTTTGGTAAATTAAGCTCCATTAGAAAGGTTTTGGGATTGCCGGTACTGATGAGCAAAAAACACGATCTTTGGTGATTGCGTGACCGAGGTTCCACTTTACGTTTAGAAGTTTGATTACTGTAAAATTCACGCTAAAAATTACGATAGAAACGTTCTTTAAATAGCTCAAACAAACTGTTTTGATTCGTAAAGTCAGAGTTCGCCTGCGTTGTATTTGAAAGCCGCGCTTGTCACTTCAATTAAAATTTTCCTAATTTTAAAGACCCATTGCCACTTACCGTGATGCATCACAATTTGTTTACATTTTGAATCGTGTCACCACTGAAAAAACAATTCCAACATTTTGAATAAACTCTTAGATAGTCCCTAAAGCCGTAAATGAACGTAAATTATTATTGTGCCTTAGTGCTATGTCGGAAAAGGATTTAATATGAAGTTATTATTCAATATATGAATCTTTGAATTTCATGGACCACGAAATTCATCTGTGACCGCGGTGCATCACGGTAAGTGGCAATGGGTCTTTAAATGTGTCTTTTATCTTCTTTTTTTTTTTTTTTTTTTTCTTCTTCTTCTTCTTTTTTTGAATTATTCACCAGTGTATTATACTAAAACAATTATTTGCCTCAGCTTTAGTGAATATCGGAGAATATATCGCACTTTGCTAGTCGCTAGATAGTTGGCGAATAAGACATCAAACTTCAGGAGTCGCACTTAAACAATAATGGTAGTAAGCTGAGGTTTTTGAAATAATCTTTATCAATAAATCATGTAAATAACTTTGTTTGTTTGTCTTTATTTTAAGTTATTTCCATCTTTTATCAAAAGGGATTAACACGCCCTGCATAAATAAGTCCTACTTACAAGACATCACTTATATGTACAACACTTATATGTACAAAATTCCGAACGAACATCACTAACTTTGGTCAATGCTTCCACTCACTTTTAGCTCTTGCTGACTTTGGTCTGCTCGAGTTGGCACTGAGAAAGAAAGAAGCCTCAATATGATTTTCACGTGGGAAGGTGGG